CTGAAAACCATTAGGTGGCAGCATCCATTCATTAGTGTCTCCAAAGTGCCACATTCACAAATTGGAATTCAAAGTCAACCATGCATACCACCAGGAATTCTTTCTAAGCGGCTGGGCTGTACACAGGGCCTGAATGTCAGCCCACAGCCAGATTTTGAATATTTATCAGCAATGGCTTACACTAGAATGAACAATGTGGTTTTTTTTTTCTTTTTATAATTCCCAATGTGTCCTTTGTTTTGTTTAATTATAGTTAAAAGAACGGCACAACTACTGAGTCCGATTAGCACACAGATACCACAATCATCTTGGAAAAATCACCCTGAAATAATGCTCGATTTAGAAAACCAATACAACATTCAAAAGGCTTTTAATGTCTCTTTATTAGAGAAATTCAGGATATCCTATGTTTATTGTTTGCACTCTTAAATGCAAACTTAGCTAGTACTTTAGCTGATCTTACACCCCAGATATTACCAAAAATCTTGTCATTTAAGCTACCATACAATGTTCTAGGTCTTCAATCAAAAATAAAGTCCTCAGAAAAAAAAATATATACCCACTAAAATCCTGTTTTACATACATGCAATTTATTTTCACCTGCAAACAAGATGAAAAAAAAAAAAAGAAACAGAAACCTTACCAATCTTAACGAAAATCACTGCCATTGCTTGGGATATTTACAGTGAAAGCAGGTACTTAAGCAGACTACATTAGAAGGATCACAATACAGTTCCCCAATATTGCACAGAGCAAAAAAAATTTCTACAAACAAGAGAGAGATAGAGATATTGTGGCCACAAGAAATATGCTGTTGAGTGTAAGTTTACATCACATTTCATTTTAAATAACCGACATGACTCTGTTCCTCGAGAATGTACTCTTATTACAACAGTATTTTTCTATTCATCACATGGTTCTGCAGCACTGACGCAGGGCATTACCAGTACACCCTGCACAGCTTCTTGCTCTTTGTCATGCGAGCTGCAAAAGCATCAAAACTGCCCAATTATTCCAAATGAGAAATGAAAAACCAACTATGTCCAACTTTTACTGCTAAAATTAAGGCCATAATTATTAACAGAGAAAAATTAAAATTGCCTTTATCAACAAACCAGGAAAACACAAGTGTGATGAAGAATCACTTCTAACATGTGTGTAACTATGGAAGTGACAGACACCTGCAAAAAACACCATCAACTTATCTTTTTTGCAGAGTTTGACTGAAAAAAAAAAAAATCTGGAGCTGGGTAAGATATTTTCCTTCACTGCTGTGACACTGAAGAGATGTAAACAATTACCTTGATATATCCCAACGGAGACAATACAGCCATGAAAAAAATGCTCCATGGGTCATCAAATGCCAAGTCGGACAGAAAGTTTGTGATTCTTGAGTTCACCTCCTGTAAGCTGAATACATCAAGATTACTGACGCTCTATCACTTGGTTTTGACAGAATTCATACGACCTTTTCAGAACACAGACCACAACATCCTAACAGACCTCTCTCAGCATAAGTCAGAAAGTTCTTGCTGTTCAGTTTCTCGTTTACAAGCAGTTTAATACATCCACAGGTCTAACACATCTAACGCTGAGAAAAACAAGGTTAAAGGAGCTTCTATTCACCTGAAGACAGAGTTTAAGACACTGCTAGACTCAAGACACATTATGACAAATCCTAACTGTCAGGTCTTTAAATTTTCCAGAAAGTTTGGAAAACATGATGGCAGATTGTGCCTAATAACCGTGCACTGATTTCTTTAAAACATGCTGATTTTTGGATAATTTTCATATCAAAATGCATATGCCTCTACGTGCCAACAAAGAAAAGAGCAGCCAACAGTGTGTTTAGAAAAACTTTGTCACAAAACCACAGCAGAAACAGGCAAAGCTTCTCTTGCTATAAATCACCCCCGTTCTAAGTCACTAACTCTAGCCTTCACCCTCTGTTAGCAATAACGTGAAACCATCTCCTAGGCAGTGATTCACATTGCACAGTCCTCCCAAAACAGGCAGTAAAGCTGGTGAGACTCAGCAGTTTGGCAATAAACTTACAAAGCAAGTTCTTTAATATATACTTACCCTATAATATACATATCCATAGTTGGGCCCAGTGAGTTGAGCTGAAGTAAACTAGTGACATCAGGCGGTGGAGAAGCTGTTCCCACATTCCAGGTAACTACATGTAGTCTACAAACGAACAAAAATCCCACAAAACCAATGCTAAAATTGAAATGTGAACAGGTAACCAGACCTAAGAGCCTCTAATTTCCCCATGGAATTTCTGTCTACAGAAAACGAAGATTTTCTGTCACTTTTCATCAATCAGAAATCTATTTATTAGCATTGAAAAAACCCAACACCACAAAACCAATCAACTAAAGGGAACAAAACCTGAATTCTTGCCACTTATCCTTCAGCTTTTTCCCCCAGATAAGGAAAGCTTCATCTAGCGTGCGAGACACTTCTTCATGAATTTCATCATCCGAGCTGATGTCCTCTACACGAGCCATAAGCTGGGCGACCCGCTGGCGGAGCTGCAAGCGGCCACTGGACCCTGTGCTGCTGAAACTTGCAGAGCGGCTGCGGAAGTTCTGCAGGCTCTCTAGATCGTGCAGGGAGAGGGCTGCTGAATCTTGAAACGCATCTTCGCTACCGAAGGATGCCATTTGCTCCAAAGAAAAGAGTAACTACGCTCTGAAGGACTAGCCCATTAAAATCCTAAGCATAAAAGAAACTGATGGCTAAGGGTCTTCCAGATCATGTTTTCACTCGTGTGAAATTCAGCATTGCTTCTAATGCAAAAGGACAAATGTAGATGCAGCAACGCTGAAAAAAAACAGTAGCATTACCACCACGCTCAATGGGTTGTTACAAAAGCTGCAATCACATCCTACCTCACACAGCGAATTGTTTCTTCATAATAGATTTAATGTGGTTAATTCTATAAGCTTAAGATTTAAAAGAATTTATTGTTGATTGGAATCAATCATGCGCCTCCCTCTGTAGGCTAGAAATATAATCTCCAGCTCCCAAACATACAAATACACAGTTCTGACCCAAACCAAGCAAAGCTACTGCTCCTCCCGAGCACTGTCAGAAACATTTGCATGTCATAGGACTCGTCTGTTGTTTCTTTATGAGATGGTAATTCCAGTATTGGAGCTTCTATAAAAGGGATTCACTTTACTGTCAGTCTCATTACATATCAGACAGACTTAAAAGATAATATGCTGTTAATTTTCCATCCATCTTAGGGTCTTATAAGGACCTTATAAACACTAATAGTTAAACGGTGCATCCCACCAATACACCCACTATTAGGGCCATATTTTTAGCCCCAAATCAACTCAAGGTGACACACAACGTATGTGGATGAGCTGGAAAGTGACCTTGCATACCAGACTAAAACTATAATTTCTCTCACCAATAGTTTATCTTTGCAAGACTACACCGACGTCAGCCAAAAGCTATTCTAAAACAAATTTCTATCGGGGAAAAAAAAAAAGTTACGTATGCTGCAGATCTAATTCTGCCATCAGAGATGTAACACTTGGGAACATTCTCCAGTTACTAATTCTGTATGACAATTATCTGATTAAACAAAACTGACATAATATTGAAGTCATCAGTCACTACTGACAGAAATTAAGTTCCTCAACGTGTCCTTATCCACACCACTGATAAGAACACGGGAAAGACTGCCGTGCCAGAATTTACACCAGAAGAAGAAATACTTGTAAAAATTTCAGGAACATCCTTAATAATTCAGTTTCACTGCAGGTTAAGACTATGTCTGCAGGAAAAACTTAATTGTGAGGAATGTACGTGCATCCGCAAAACAAATAACCTACAGCACTACGCAGTCCCAAAGGTTTCCTGATGCCCCCGACTACTTCCCAAGGCAGCACAAGTACTGCCCTCCGTACGGAGGGGAGACTAGAATGATACCGATTTTCATCGGATGCCTCAAAGCCAGCCTTTCCCAAGGGAGCAGGACACTGCTCAAACCATTCTGGAAGCTTTCAATACCACCAGAGCACAGTCTCAAGTGTGCTCTTTGCAAACACGTTCCTAAATACAAGCAAATTACTGAAGACATTATTTGGGGTCACCGACTCCTGAAATGATTCAATAGCAGAGAATTTTTTAGGGTCACAGTATTTATAATACTGTGTTAAGATGACTTTTAAAATCTCTAGGCAAATGTTAGTATTTGTTGGTGGGTTTTTTTAACTTTCCTATTACAGACAGCTACTCAACTACCGTTTCAGCAGGTTTCTCTAGAAAACCAAGCGCAGAGTGCAGACACCCCCACTTATCACCACAGAAGACACCACACGAAGACATAATGTAAAACCACCGTAAAAGCAGAAAGATTTACTCAAGCTCCTTCCTCCTCACGAAAAGCGACAAATTTGAGACACTAGATACATTAATAGCAAGCACAGTAGATCTTGCCCTCATTAAGTGTAAGTAGGTCTCTGGAAAGTCCTCAGGACCCAAACAATACTCAATAAGCCTCCCTGAAACGACTCCAGCACCGTACCAGTAGCTTTCAAATCAGAAAATCAGCTTTTCTCCTCTATTTCATATGACCACGTAACATCGCCAATTAGTACAACTCCCTGTCAATAAGCAGAAACACAAGTTTCGTTAATTCTGAGCTAATTACGTAACGACTTCGCTACTTTTCCCCCCCCCGCTACGCCCAACAACTGCCCTCAGACGTGCGCGCCTCACCCCTCCAGCCCCGACCGCTCACCTCAGCTCCCTCACGGCGCCGCGGTGCGCCGGGCCCGCAGTCTCCATCCCCAGGGCTCCCGTCAGGAAGCGCAGGGAAGAGGACAGCGAAGGCCTCGGCCTCGCCCGGCCCAGCCCAGCCCGGCCCGGCCCGGCCTCCTCGCTCCCCTCAGCGCCGCCGCGCCC